ATAATTGCGACCTGTAGAGCAACTGCAAAATCAGGAATTTTTTCGGTTTTTGGTCCATTTCAACCCCTAAATATTATGCGATCATCTCCAAAAGAAATAGGGTTCTATTCTAACCCTAGCCCCACCTCCATTCTAAATTTCGAACTTTGAATACCCTCCACCATTTGGAACGAATTTTGTAATAAAATCCTTAAAAAATTCCGAATATTGGGAGGTACCGTTATATGGGGGCTATACGAAGACGTGGACCTGCACAGTCAATTTTCTGTCTTAGGCTGTAGTATCCATTACGAACTTCAAATATAAAATTTTAAAAAATTTCGGTTAATAATGTCGCTAACATCATCAAAATGCCGAATATCGGGTGGTACCGTTGTATGGGGGGGTGGCTATATGAGACAGGCAGACAGACGGACATCGCTAAATCGACTTAGAATTTTACGCTGATCAAGAATATATATACTTTGATGGGTCTGACATGAGTATTTCTAGGAGTTACAAACGGAATGACAAAGTTAATATAACCTCCATAGTATGGTGGAGGGTATAAAAACACAAAAAGGGACTGTTAAGGCCTTTGGAATGTCGGCTGTTTTGTTAGTTTAGTCCTCCACATCCGTAATATTCCCTCCATAATAATGATATTCGGGAAAATATCAAATACAGCTCTCAAATAACATTACCAAATTCTATCGAGATCGGTTCAGATTTGGATATACCAGTCATTTATATTTTTATCTATTTTCATGTTTATTGTGCAAAAAATGGTTAACATAAGTCTAAATTCAATTCGATTGGCGCACACGACCAAAAAGAAAATGTGTCAAATTTAGTGAAAATTGTTTCAGATATCGGTATACCTCTCATATATATTATTCATCCGATTTGCTTTTTTTGTCCCGCACAGTCATCATATGCACTCTAAAACAACGATATTTGGTGTCAGTTAACAGATACCTCTGCTTATTAGCTATAGATACTGATTTGGATACCGCTCCAATAAATTGTTTCATCCGATTTCACGTTTATTGTGCCCAAAGTGTACAGGGTGAGATAAAAAACTGCAACAAAGTCAAATGCCATAATTTTTAATTTTTTACATTTTATTGAATGAAAGCAAAAAATGTCGGAAATAGCATCAAATTATAGAATAAGTTTAGATTTGTTCCAATTTTATCACCTTTGGCACGAATTATGGCCTTCAAATGGTCAATGAAACCGTCACACGCAGCCCGAATGTTGCTCTGCCGTATTTTGACCCATTCCCGGCGAAGCGCTTGCTTGAGGTGATCGACACTTTAGTATTTTTAGTGCCAACTTTGCTTTCCAAAATACTTTGTTTGCGTTCTCGTTGTGCCTTTAGATGTCGTTTAATTTTCTTAAGCTTGAACATTTATAACAACTTCAACCTGTGTTTTAATCAATTAGTAATTAATTATTGAATTTGTTTCTATAAAGACAAACATTCCGGGCTACGATTAAGAATTGTAAGCTCTTCTTCGAACGAAATTCAGAGACGGATTTCTCTCAGCAATCGGAAAACGATTTCAAATAATATTATATTTGAAATCATTCCAGTTCATATTTTCGTAACTAAAAAAACTAGGTAGTGGGTGTAAAATTATTTGGCCACTTGGAAGCATAATGTTAACTTTCAGAGAAAAATTGTGCAGCAGAATAGAATGAAATTTTATATGTAGAATATTTTTGTAAATACTAAATAACCTTACCAAAATTTTTCACGTTAAATTAACTTAGAAGAAATATAACTAAAACAGCAGCTATGTTCCGCTGGGACAAACTTTGCCTTTGTCCTCCATCATTAGGAAAGTGGGTGCTATACGAAAACGTTGACAGATATAGCTCATCTCCGATCTTGGCCTGCCTACAGTCAAATTACAGCTCTATTCTAAATCTTAACACTTAACAATATTCCAAAGTGTCCGCAATATTCCATATCGAAAGGTGCCGTAATATTATGTTTTCAAAGAGATTTCGTTCTCACTGATAACTTAGAATGTAAGATTTGAGACAATTCCGTTGAATCGAGATAGGTTTAAGTTTAGTAATATCTCCCATATATATGTATATTAAAAACAAGTAAGCATATGTTAGAAGCCTCGATATGTCCAAATCCATTTTGGAAGATTTCACTTTTGAAATTATGTCACGGAGCACTGTCCAGATATTACCCTTAGCATTTGTGCTGTTAGTTGTTTTGGTCATTCCACAGCTCAATACGATCCAATGGTCATCAAAAAATGCTAGACTTATTCCCTGTCCTTAGCTCCCTTCTCAGGCGTGTCGATTGGCTTCAATTGTGTGATCAGGAATTTTTTTCAGTTTTTGGTTCATTTGAACCCCTAAATATTTTGCGACCATCACCAAAAGCAAAAGGCCCCTCTCTATCTCTAAATTTCCATTCATGTATATGGTTTGCTTGTCTACGATATTAGGCTATAGTATAGTCATAGACTATATATATAGTCATTTTGCTGTAAGTTATTTCCAGCTTTTCGGTAGAATGGAAATGTACGTATTTCTTTCACACAAAAGTAGTGGTCTATTCAACCCGCTGTCCTATAATCTAACTTCATGCGAGATTTTGTGTCCATTGTGTCCTTTGATTTCTTTATTTGTGACCTTTATAACGGCTGCAAAATCAGGAACATTACGGACATCTTTGAAAACAATAGGGATAGCCCCTGTGAAAATTTTCGCGAAGATCGGATGATAATTCCAATCTGTATGTAATAACCCCAACCTGTGTTCTAAGGTGCAAAAATATTACAAAATTTATACTTCAATATTATAAGTCAAATTGAAAAAATCTCATGCGATAAAAAATATGAAAAAATAAAAAATGTCACAAAATACTACAAAATCTATATTAACATCATTATTGGCATTCTTGTATGCGATATTTTATACTTTTATGCCAAGAGGGCATTCTAACTTGACAAAATTTGTCAAAATCGGTCCAGCCATTATTGAGATATAAGCATTCTAGCTAACATCCCCTTCCTTAGTATACATACATTGCATATATTTCTCCATATATATCCGATATGTTTACTATCAGCATCTACGTAACGGTCAGAATTTACCTGTTCGTCTACTTGTGATTTCGCCGGCTTAAAAAATATTCACGGTTTAATGGAAAATTTGACTTTTATTTAACACAACTGTTATTGATAGGAAGAAGAGGTGTTACATAATTTTTGGCCCAATCAAACTTATAATACCCCCAACACATAGTGTTGTAGGGTATAAATATTTATTGGAACAATAGATATGCTGGACCGAGTTTCGCCAAATGGCAAAATTCGGTTGAATATGAAAAAAAATTATCCAAGGTATATACAAATCTGAGCCGATCTCAATAAAATTTGGTAAAGGTATTTTCTAGATGTATCTGATCAAATCATGATATTAAATATCATTGTTGTGGAGTGAACATTACGCTTGTTTGGGATTTAAAACCCCAAATCGGATAAAACATATATATGGGACCTATATCCAAGTCTGCACCGATTTACATTTATATTTGAAATACTGGTTTCTTGAATGAATTCAGTCGTAATTTCCAAAATCAGTCTATTTGGTCTGATATTGGCCAATTGGTGCTCAATAAACCTGATATCCGTTAAAGATATGGGAGCTATATCCTAATCTGAACCGATCTCGATAAAATTTGACAGAGGTATTTGCGACCAGTATCTGATGTCCGGTATATCTGAAAAAAATGCCAATAGGGTTCGCCCTTGGGCCAAACAAATATCGTTTGGAAAATTTCATATCAAACGGATAATAAATGCGACCTGTATTTTGTTTGCAAAAATACATGGACAGACGGACGGACTGACATGCATAAATCGACTCAGAAAATGATTCTATGAAAATGCTCAATAGTAAATATTGGTCTATCTAGTTTCCTTCTCTCTGTTACAAGCAAATGCACAAAGACATAATACCCATACCACTATATGATGTAGAGTATTAACATTTAGGTTGGATTCAGAATCTAACAAAAAATGGATCTGGTTTTCCCTCTGAGACAACATCTATAAATGTTAATGAACTTGATTTGAATTGAAGAGAATTTTATAACTAAATTGTGTCAATTAATGTAGTATGCATCCATTGTAGTGCCTGGAGCTAGTCTCTGGAATCGATTTCAAGGTCCCATGACCTATGATACCGAATTGTGTGACCAAAACTATTTCATAATATATAATATATTTATTTTTTGAAAATATTTATCTTTCCATCTAAAATTTATAATAACAGTCGTCCATTATTTTCGTCCACATTTTCCGGAAACCTCATTTAAGCTTCAAAACTCCAGAGACTATTAGCGATTTTACTTTACGAGTTTTGTACATTTACCCTTATGAAGATTAATTTTATATCCAGTGATTCAATATCATTTGTTTTTGGTCAAGGTTCTGTGAGGCTTCAACGGCTAATGAACATTAATGACTAATCTTAATAACAACGATGTACTCCTGACTTATGCAATTGTATATACGTTTCAAGAACACCTAAATCTTTTCCAATTTTGTCAAAATTGACGTAGAAAATATTTAATTTTTTTAATATTCTCAGCAAACTGTTAGTAATGAAATCGACCGATAATGTTTTATTGGAAACTAATATGAAATTAAATTGAAATGAAAAAGCACGCACGTACACACGCATTACATTACACATGTTTGGAGTGGCAAAGAAATGGTTCGACTTATTCCGCAAGCATGACTAATTTCACTGAACCGGTTGAGTGGTAAACAGCTGGGCCCAGATGCAAAATTGAAGTTCAGTTTTTAGAGCAAAATTATTATGACGTATTGGCATATTTGCATTGAGTGCGACACATGGCTATGTGGGACATAAGACTTCCTGATTCGCTATTATTGGGGATTTTGTTGTTGTCTCAGAATTATGCAATTTTGCTATAAAAATATGGAGATTTGATGGTTACAAATCAGAATAGATTCTGCGTTCTATTAAGCAACACAGTTTAGTTTTCTCTGTAGACACTTGTCAATCAATAAAATCACCTTTTTTTAACTAAAATGAAAGTAAGTAAGAAAATAATATTTTTAATACCAAAATTAAATAATATTTTATTAGCTGTTTAATTTCAAATTAATTTTCATTAAATTGCGTTAATATTACATATTTGTAACACGGGTGATTTTTCTCCTCCTTAGGTAGTGTCTACTACCTCTTAATACGACTTTGTACTTCGTACATAATGTCAAAGGTAATGACATTTCCTAAGGAGTGACGTTTTGTAATTGCCGCCTTTACAGTATTCTACCGACTCTACGAGTACTATCAAGCATAGGATTACGTCCTACTGCTAAAAAAACCCTTTGTACGAAGGTAATATTGTTCCACGAACAACCACCCAATAAAAATACACAGTCCACTACTCTAGTTGGAAAAAATATTAATCCTTTGTGTTTTTATTTTTCTCCAATTTCTCTATTTTCATTTTGCTACGCAAACATTGGTCCGATCGACCCGGATTTTACGATCTGTCTCCTTCCTTCACGAGGAAAAACAACAAAGCAACGACTGTTTCGCAGCAAAAACATTGGATTCTACGATCCATCTCTTTGCCTCACCGAGGATAAAACGACTACGTCGTCAACAACAACAACGGGATCATCGATCACCACCATCACCTCTAATAAAATTACATTACATTTTTATTAAACCGCCACAACAAAGGTATGTACACAGTGAATTACGTTCAAAGTGACATACCGAACATTGTTATTGTTGTGTTAATAAAACAAAACAAAGCCTTCGGTCGTTTTCAACAAGTTTGTACGTCCGTCCGTCTCCCATGAGATTGCCGTCGGCATTCATTTCAAGCAACAAAACATCACTAATATCACAATTCGATTTGTTTACAACAAATCGCATACACAACCACAGTCACAGTCATTTTGTATTTCGCTTTGCCTAATAATTTCATTTTTAGCACATTTCTTTTATATTTTTTGTTTGTACTACTGCTTTTAGCATAAATTTTTGTTGTGTTTTTCATCTTATTGTATGTTTGTAAAACACAACAACAGCAATATAAAACAGTAATTGTTGTCATCACTGCTGATTGTTGGTTCCTCTTTATTTACATATTCGTGTAAATAACAATAGTGACACTCACTGATAAATGATAGCTGATCACATACAATAGGTGTGTTCACGATCATTTATCATAATATATTTATTGAAAAATTGAAAGTGTCATTTGCAATAAAATTTTGTGTTGATTTCTTCGAATATCAACCAATAATAAAATTTTGTTTGTGTCTCCGATACAATACACCCTACATTCGGTATATACATACATATATGTGTATAGTAATATTTTATTAAATAACGTTTAATACAAATATTACTATTTATTTTTGCAAACTCTTTCGAGAAAACTGTTTTGTTTCTTGCTTTATTCTGAACGACTGGAAGAGCACAACTAACGGTCCGTGCACCCTACCATCGGTTTTAGTGATTTTCGTCACATTTTTGAGTTTTTCGACTTTTTAAACATTTCCTTTACATTTTTTTGTCGGTAAGTGGTATTTACGATACCCTGCCACGAACTGTGTGTATTTTACGATACACTGTTAACAATATAAAATACACTGAAAGAAAAAATTTACAATTTTTGAGTTTCTTTATAATATTATTTTACTTTTTGTGGTTTAATCACGCTAAACCTCAATTATAGTCCAAGACTATTATACAATCAGTGTATTTTCATTAAACAAATATTGATTTTCTTGACATTGCGTGTCGTTTTAAAAATATTTTACGCATTTTCGTGTAAATTAAATTACAATTTCTTTATTTCGCTGCAGTTTTGTATTCTTCGGCTGCATTTGTTTTTCAAACAAGACATTACGTGTCTAAATAAACATTATTCATTTGTTTTGCTTCTGATTTGCATTCAAAATGGCACTCACTCCTTTGGATTTATTCATCCGAGCTACTAATGCTTTGGTAAAATTTGATGCCAATTTCAGTTCCCAACGGGACGAAGAGCTCGATGTTTACATCCTAGAATTACAAAGAGCTGAGGTCAGAACACTATGGGATAAAGTGAAATTCCAATTTGAAAAGTGCCTCGATTACCTACATGAAGATAAAAATTCTAATGAGGACGACATTTCAGCCGCCGACATCAAATACGATGTCGCCTACAAATGTTTTTTAAATGTTCTAGCGTCCATTAATAGAAAGTTAGGCGGGCTACGGGCTCCGCCTGAGTCCCCTACTGTAATTACACCAAAATCTCATGTAGGTAACCCTTCAATACCTCGTTCCGAGGATACAGCGACCGTATTAAATGCTCCGCATCGATCCGAAACTTCCCAAAATTCATCTTTCACATCCAGTGGAAATGAAAATTCCAGTCACAGGTTAAATTTGCCACCCTGTGACATAGAAGTATTCAATGGCGATTTTCTTTCCTGGCCTACGTTCAGGGACTTATTCTCTGCCATTTATATAAACAACAGCAGCATTACCGATATTGAGCGTTTATGCCATTTAAATAATAAAACCAGTGGCGATGCCCATGAAATTGTGTCTATGTTTTCGCTTACACACAAAAACTTTAGCTTAGCATGGAGTGCCTTGTTTTCTACTTATGACAATCCTCGAATTTTGGTGAACCACCAACTTAAGCTCCTCTTTGACCTTCCAGTTTTAGACAAAGAAACTAGTGCAGGGTTAAAGAAATTACAAAGAGGCATAAACGGGTGTATTTCGTCCATGTCTAATTATGATGTGCCGACAAAAGACTGGGATCCTATTCTAGTTTTCCTGTGTCTTCAGAGGTTACCTAAGAACTGCGTGGTGCTTTGGGAACAAAGCATAAAGAACAAATCTTCTTTGTCTTCGTGGAAAGATTTGGATCACTTTCTTACAGAAAGGATCCAAACTCTGACCTGCTTACGTGACATTAGGGGCATCGATTACGTCGAACCTCTAAACAATGATAAATGTTCCCTTTCTACGAATGGTGCAACGAATACATCAAATTCCGTCACGGCCCAAAGTGCCCCTCATTTCTTTAAGTTACCTCGTACATCCTCGCCTAAATCATGTGCGCTTTGTTCACGACAAAGGCATCATCTAAGAGTTTGTCATAAATTCCTTAGACTTTCAGTTCCTGAAAGAATCAGCAAAGTTAAGAAACACTTCTGTTGTCTTAATTGTTTGTCTCACGGACATGAATCTTCAAAATGCAACAGCATTTACAACTGCACTATATGCAATAAACGGCATCACACGCTGTTACACATCGAGGCCACGCCTCAATCGTCTCCGACGACTTCAAATGTTAGAAGGCTAGATCAGGTAATTCTACCTACTACTTCTACCAATACTATATCAGGGTCTTCAAACCGACAGGCATTTCATTCCACCCAGAGCAGAAAAATATTGTTAGGTACAGCTATGGTGCATATTGTGCACAACGGTACTACGTACCCAGCTAGAGCCTTAATAGATCCTGCTTCAGAAGCATCTTTTGTTTCTGAACGTATACGAAAAAGATTGGGTGTAGGCGCGAATAACGTTCAAGCTTCAATCTCGGGGGTTAGTGGGTCCGTTTCACAAATTTCCCGTAAGCAATGTCCCGTTCGTATTAGTTCTCCATTGGATGCTACGCAGACAATGGAAACTAATGCTCTGGTTCTGCCGACAATTGCAGAAAATCTGCCATCATTTTCCATAAAACGTGACACCATTCCGCAATTGCCAAATCTTCGTTTGGCCGACCCTGATCCTTTTTCTTCTCGTCCCGTTGACCTACTATTAGGGGCAGATCTTTATCCGAAGATTCTGCTACAGGGTACACGTACCAACGTATTAGGTTCATTGATAGCGCAGAGCACCGTCTTCGGCTGGATCATTACTGGTCCCATGCCAAACTCCCCTCTACAACCTTTTGTTTAGGGATTCTCCTTAGATTAGGGTAAAAGACTGGGGACTTTGAGTCACTTTTGCTCACATCTTTCCCTACGGACGCTATTTCTCCATACGTTTTAGGTATACATAGGTAAGTTTACCTACCGAAAACTTTAAGATTTCATCGCCTACACCTGTATTTTCTACTTGCTACGCAACTATTGGTCAACGACCATCTGGATCGACTACGTCTTCTTTTTTCATTTGTCACGCAAATGACTTCAGTCCGCATAAACAATGGCTATACGGCCGCCTGTACTTAATTTTCAAAGAGGCATCCCATATTGTTCACGGGGAATATTTTGAATGCAAAATCTTAAAGCAGATGCTACGCATCTATATTTATATTGCTGGATCACCGATCCATAATTCACATAAATATAACCGAATGTGAGGAGCAAAATTTAATATTGAAAACGGCACTTTCGTCCGACGGCCATTTCAATTCCTTTCCCACTCCTACGGAGTTAGTTATAGTCGATGTTTCGCGTCGTCTTCGCCTCCTCTCTACTTTTTCGCTACAAATTTGGAAAAAATTTAGTTTGATGGCCGCGTTAGAGCCGCGAAGCATCGAACTATACAGTTGAAAAACGACCTACGGTTTTGTGGTCATTCTGACTAAAGTTCGTTCCTATTTACATTTTCGCTTCCTCTCTAATTTTCATATGAGTTGGAAAATTTAGAATGATGGTTGCGATGATGGTGTGCGGATTACGTCCCATATACAATAAGGAACAACGATTTGATGGCTGCGCTGATCCCTGAAGCCCACGGCATACACCACGGATGAAGAGAACCTCCTTCGGAGAAGATGCAACTAAAAATCCGTCTTCGACGGTCCCTGGAGTTCCTCCAGGCGTTATCAGTGGTTTCGCCACATTGGACTCGACGAGTTCAACCTTCAACAGATCAGAACCTTATCGAGGCATTGCACGATCTTGCTCTACGAGCACATTCCTTCAGTTTTCATGTTACGATCGGTTCCTTTCGGGCATTGCACGATCGTGCTCTATGAGCTCGCATGAAAAATTGAAAACAACCTTTTTTATTTTTCTTCTTTTGTCCATTGTTTTCATGATACGATCAGTTCCTCCTCGAGGCATAGCACGATCGTGCTCCACGAGCACACATGAAAATAACTAACATTAACGTAAAATTTGCAACACGGTGAAATGTTGCAAAGGCCGGCGGAATGTTTAATTTCAAATTAATTTTCATTAAATTGCGTTAATATTACATATTTGTAACACGGGTGATTTTTCTCCTCCTTAGGTAGTGTCTACTACCTCTTAATACGACTTTGTACTTCGTACATAATGTCAAAGGTAATGACATTTCCTAAGGAGTGACGTTTTGTAATTGCCGCCTTTACAGTATTCTACCGACTCTACGAGTACTATCAAGCATAGGATTACGTCCTACTGCTAAAAAAACCCTTTGTACGAAGGTAATATTGTTCCACGAACAACCACCCAATAAAAATACACAGTCCACTACTCTAGTTGGAAAAAATATTAATCCTTTGTGTTTTTATTTTTCTCCAATTTCTCTATTTTCATTTTGCTACGCAAACATTAGCTTTTCTCTCTTTCGAGGGGAGCAGTGAATTAGGCAAAAGTCAATAATTTATTGTATTTTCCTTTGTTTTTTTAGGTATCCGCTGCTATTTTGTCAACCTTGGCCTTGGGTATGGGTGCCCAAGCATCCGTGTTGCCCTTGGTAACCGAAGTTGCTGGTAGTGGTCTTTCGTACACAGCCGTCTCTTCACCAGTTGTAGCTTCACCTTGGGCGCCATGGGGCCACCATTCTGTTGTAGCTGCTCATGTTGCTCCACCAGCTGCTGTGGAGGTACATGCTCCTGCTGTTGTTGCCTCCCCTGCTCCAGCCGCTGTGGCTGTCCATGCTGCTCCCAACGTTGCTGTTCATGCTCCAGTTGTGGTGCCCGCTGCTGAAGGTACTTATGTGGCCAAAACGCGTGGTGCTGTTCACACCGCTCCCCTGTCGGGTCATGTAAATTCTGTTGCCAATATTAATTTGGCTCCCGCTCCTGGTACCCTCTAAATGATGTGACATGGATAAAATTGTTATCTTTTTCATTTTAAATTAAATAAACCAATGATTAGAAAAAAAAAAAAACAATTGTCTATTTGGCATTCTGTTTGACAATGAAGATGTTATGATAAGTAAAAGACGTTTTAGTTCAAGATATCACAAAGATATAAATATTTCTGTAGAATAAGAAAAGATGCCATATCTTTTAATGGAAACTAAAGGATTATCCTAAAAAAAAGTTATTTTGCTCAAAAAAAAAAAAAAAATATTGAATGTTTATTTCACAAGCCATGACGTTACCATAAAAAAAGCAGTCAAGTTCGTCCGGGCTGAACTTTTAATACCCTCCACAATTTTTAAGGATTTGAAAACCGTTATATAGGGCCTATTTGCATAAGTAATTTTTGTCATACGAATTTTAAAACAATTCCGGCCAATATCATCAAATCATGAATCTTGAAACACTTCCGATGAATAATGTCGCTTATATCATCAAAATACCGAATAAAGGGAGGTACCGTTATATGTGGGCTATACGAAAGCGTGGATAATGGCTTCCAATTTTAAGAGTTATCTTATTATTATATAACAATTAAAAATCACCTGAGTTCGGCCAGGCCTAACTTTTACTACCCTCCACCATTTGGATGAAACTTGAAATAAAAAAAAAAAAAACAAGTAAAAAAGTAGTAAGTTCGGGCGGGACGAACTTTGAATACCCTTTACCATTTGGAACGAATTAGAAAATTTTTAAAAAAATAAAATGTATTAAATTTTATTTTAAATCTACAATATCCAATATAGGAAGGCGCCGATATATGGGGGTATATATGATATTGTGGACCTATTAAGACAAATCTATGTCTGGGTGTAAAGTACTCACAAGGAACTCCTTGTGTGAATTTTCTGATAATTCCATTGGAAAAAGTGGCTAAAATCATCAAACTACCGAATATCGGGGGATACCTTTATATGGGATATATACGATATCGTGAACCTATGACGAACTTAATATACCCTCCATACTTTGTATGGTGGGGGGTATAAAAACTTAGAAAAATAAAGTTTTAAAGAAACCTGTTATATGGGGGCTATACAAAAACGTGGACCTGCATACGCGATTTTCTGTTATAGGTTGTAGTACCTTTTACGAAATTTGAAACAATTCCAGTACAAAATATAGCTGAAATCATAAAAATACCGAATATTGGAAGGTACCGTTGCAATATGGTACTATTTTGCAAATTTTAAACGCTACTGTTTCTCAAACATTCTACCCGCTTTGTCCAATTTTAGCATACTCTTTCCAACACTTCCGCCGATATCTCACGAATCAATGTTGCACGTTGTCTTCCAATGTGTCATTTGAAGCGGGCTCGTCCGTTCCTACAAAAAAGGAGTTAAATCGCACGATCTAGACGGCCAATTGACCGGTCTCGCACGTGAAATGAAATGTTCACCGAACTCGCTTCTCAAAAAGTCCATTGTCATGCGTGATGTACGGCATGTGGCACCGTCTTGCTGGAACCACATGCTATGCAAGTCAAGCTCTAGCATTTTGGACAAACAAAATTGGAGCTCTCATCCAATTATGCCACCATCCCATAAATCACGCAAAAGTATGACTTTTACTGTGTTGGGCGAGTTATAATTTCGAATGGACCAAAAGTTATGCAACACCTCGAAACATTGGTCCTGTGCATATGAATATTTATATGGATCTGTTTATACCCCGAGCTAAGTCGATCTAGCTATGTGTGTCTGTCCGTCCGTCCGTCTATGTTCACGCTAGAAGTCACAATTATATGCAAATGACCGATCCTCGCTAAATTGAAAATGGAGGTGGGGCTGGGGTTAGAATAGAAGCTTATTGTTTTTGGATAATCGCAAACATTTTACGGGATTGTTATGGATCAAAAACAGACAAATTTCCTGATTTTGCAGTTGTTCTACAGACTACAATTATCAATAAATCGGCGGAATACCTACCTATTTGGTTGATTATCGGACAATATTAAGCGGGTAAAATAGACCATAACTTTTATGTAAAACTATGGTGGATATATTAATTTTGTTATTCCGTTTGTGCAGGTCCACGACTTCGTATAGCCTCCATATAACGGTACCTCTATATATCCGGTATTTTGATGGTTTTAGCTACATTATTCACCGGAATTGTTTCAAATTTGGTATTTGAAGTTTGTAATGGATACTACAGCCTATGACAGAAAACTGTCTATGCAGGTCCATGTCTTCATATAGCCCCCATATAACGGTACCTCTCTATATCCGGTACTTTGATGATTTTAGCGACATTATTCACCGGAATTGCTTCAAATTTAGTATTAGAAGTTCGTAAAAAATACTACAGCCTAATACAGAAAATTGTCTGTGGAGGTCCACGTCTTCGTATAACCCCCATATAACGGTACCTCCCAAAATTCGGCATTTTGATGATTTTAGCGTCATTGATCACCGGAATTGTTTCAAATTACGTATTTAGAGTTCGAAATTGAAACTACAGTCTGTGACAGAAAATTATCTATGCAGGTCCAGGTCTTCGTATAGGCCCCTTATAACGGTACCTCCCAATATTCGGTATTTTGAAGGTTTTAGCGTCATTATTCACTGTAGTAGATTCAAATTACGCATTTAGAGTATGTAATGGGAACTACAGTCTGTGACAGAAAATTGCCTATGCAGGTTTAGGTCTTCGTATAGGCCCCATATATCAGTACCTCCCTATATTCGGTATTTTGACGATTATAGGTACAATACTCACCGAAATTGTTTGATATGTCGTATTTGAAGTTAGTAATGGAAGCTGCAGCCTGTTACAGAAAATTGTCCAGGTCTTCGTATAGCTCCGATACAACGGTAACTTCCTATATACGGAATTTGATGATTTTAGCTACATTATTCACCGTTTATTTCAAGTTTCGAATTTGAAATGGTAATGGCTAATGACAAACGTCGTACAGACCCTAATATAACGGCTATATCCTGTATTTTTAAGATGTTAACAGAATTTTTGGTGAATGTTATCTTTTTCGAAAATTTGCAAATTCGTTCCAAATGGGTATTCAAAGTTCGGCCCGGCCGAACTACTTTTGTAAGTCTTTCTACACCCAACAAAACTATGTGTTGAGGGTATTATATACAGGGCGCAATTTTCTGATCCTCACGATATTCCGCATGTTCTTGAAGACGTATATTTAGGGTTTTTTTCCGATATTGCAGTCGCTCTACAATGCACAATTGAAAACAACAAATTTCGTGTGAAATTGATTTAGTACACGATTCCAAGGTCAAATAACAAACGTAACATTTGTGCGGGGTTGTATAGCATTATTTCAACAACGGATTCTCCCAAAATGGATTTGTACCAATGGGGCTTCTAACATATAATATTGTTGTAGGGTATCACACGGTCGTCCCCGCGCCGCTATAACCATTGCTTACTGGCCGATCTTCGTTCCAAAATCCAAAATTGGAAGTCCAAATCCATATTGGCAGTATTGGCTTTTGAAATTAGGATTTTGACTAGGGACATTTGCCCAATATTTATGCACACGTTCGGGCTGTTAGTTGTTGTGGTCCATTTAACAGCTAAATATAATCCAATGGTCATCCAAAATGCTATAATTGTTCCCTGTGCTTATCTCTCTTCACAGGCGTGTCGATTGTCTTTAATTGTGTGATCGGAAAAACATTTATGTTTTTGGTTAATTTGAACCCCTAAATATTTTGCAATCATCTCCAGAAGCAAAAGCCCCTCTGTATCTCCAAATTTAGACTCATCTGTATGATTTGCTTGTCTGCGATATTTGGCTATATTCGTCAACGAAATCAACATAAAAGAGCCAGAAGTTCGCCTTTTGTGTATTTCGAATATCGCCTGTAAGTAATGTTGGTATTTTTTCACACAAAAGTAGTGGTCCATTCTATCCTCTGTCCTAACTGTAACTTCATGCGAGATCTCGTGTCTTTTGGTTTCTATTTGTGACCTTTATAACGGCTGCAAAATCAGGAAAATTTTTAGTTGTTGGTCCATTTCAACCCCTAACATATTGCGGACATCTTTGAAAACAATAGGCCTAGCCCTTCTGAGTCTAACCCTACCCTTGTGAAAATTTTCGTGAGGAACGGACGATAATTGCACTACTTATATAATATCCCCAACCTGTGTTGTAGGGTGAAAAAAATATTACAAAATATTATGAGTCAAATTGAGAAAATCGCATGCGATAAAAAATATGAAAAAATAAAAAAAATGTCACAAAATACTACAAAATCTATATTAACATCATTATTGGCATATTTTTCTGGTTTTTTATACCCTACAACACTATGTGTTGGGGTATTATAAGTTTGATTGGGCCAGAATTTATGTAACACCTCGAAATATTGGTTTCCCACATAGGAAAGTATACATGGATCATCCTAGCTCGCCGAGCTGAGTCGATCTAGCTATGTATGTCCGTCCGTCCGTCTGTCCGTCTGTCCATGTTAATTTGTAATCACTCTACAGGTCGCAATTATGGTCTGATCTTCACGAAATTTAAAATGGAGGTGGGGTTAGGGTCAGAATAGAAGCCTATTTCTTTTGGAGATGATCGCCAAATGTTTAGGTGTTGAAATGGACCAAATACTGAAAAAATATCGGATTTTGCAGTAGCTTTATAGGTCGCAATTATAGACCAATCGGAATTTCGTATGTAGCTAGAGTTTAGGGCAGGGAAGAAGCGTACCAATTTGGGTGGTCATCGGATAATATTTAGCGGGTAAAATAGACCATATCTTTTGTCTTGAAAAAATTCAACATTTTTCATTAAACCGCGAATATTTTAAATCCCGGCCAAATCACGAAGCCATGACAAGGTTACTTCTGACCTTTACATTGATATTAATATCCAACAAATCGGATATATAGCAAAATATTTGCGATATATATGTCTATCAAAGAAGATATGCTTGAAAGATCTCTTATATGTCGAGAACGGCTGAACTGATTTCGAAACACAAAAACGCCTAAAAAATCGCATAAAAATATCTCTCTAAAGATGAAAATATTGATTTTGTAACATTTTCTCATATTTTTTTTTAATTTTGGCAAATTTTCATTTTGAATTAAACATTTGGTAATATTTCTACAGCTAACAAAACTAAGTAGTTAGGATATCAGTATATCATATACAGATCGCAATTATAACCCGATCCTTACGAAATTTTACATGGGTATAAGATGAGGGTCAGAATAGAAGCCTACTCTTTTTGGAGATGATCGCAATATATTTAGGGGTTGAAATGGACCAAAAAACTGCAAAATAGTCAGCAGGTCGTAATTTTCGCCCGATCCTCACGCACATTGCACAAGCCAAGCAGTTTTGGATGGCCATCCAAAAATATTCAATGTGCGAAATAGTTTACCAACTTTTGTAGACAAAATACAAAAATGTCCATTCCAGTGACTCTTTGGAGAATTCACAAATACAGGAAAGACGCACTTCTGACTATTTCGTTAACGCTGATTGCGTGGAAGAATATAGTCAAATGTCTGTATCTCATATAGATGCGTTTCAGTCAAAAACCAATAATAAATGTTAATCTTTTGCCACTTCTGAGAGATTATAGGTCTTTGGGAAATATTGGTTCCCGATCTAGGAAGACCATTTATGTGCAACATCTACCAATAAATTGGAAATGAGCAAATTAGTTAAAGGTGCTATTATTCGAAAATTAGAGAACGAAGCCTGATGGTTTTCTTTTATAATTTATCACAATATCTTGTGGAATTCTTTCGAGTACCTCGCCTATATAAACAGTATCGTTTATTAAAGTGTTGTAGGGTATTCAACGGTCGGCCCCGCTCGACGGTAGCGTTTGCTTGCTTGTTTTTATACCCTACACCACATAGTGGTAAAGGTATTATGTCTTTGTGCATTTGTTTGTAACGTGGAGAAGGAAACGAGATAGACCCATAGTTACTTTTGAGAACCTTCATAGAATCACTTTCTGAGTCGATTTATGCATGTCAGTCCGTCTGTCCGTCCGTCCGCCCGTCCGTCCGTCCGTCCGTCTGTCCATGTATTCTTGTGAACAAAATGCAGGTCGCATTTATTATCCGATTGAGATGAAATTTTCCAAACAATACTTTTTTGGCCCAAGGACGAACCCTATTGAAATTGGTGAGAATCGGATCAAATTTAGATATAGCTCCCATATATATCTTCATCCGATTTCGGGTTAAATGTGCAGCAAATGGCCAATATCAGCCCAAATGGCCCGAATTTTGGCACATGTGACCGATATTAGCCTTAAAGCAAATACAACAAATTTGGAGAAAATCGGTTCAGAAACAGCTATAGCTCCCATATATATATATTCATCCGATTTCGGGTTAAATGTGCACCAAATGTCCACTATCAGTCCAAATTACCTGAATTTTGGCACACCCAACCGAGTTCGGCATAGAAGCAAGTATATCAAATTTGGAGAAAATCGGTTCAGATATAGCTATAGCTCCCATATATATCTTTCATCCGATTTGGTGTTTAAGCCTCTCACATTAGTAATATGCACTCCACAAGAATGATATTTGGTACCAGATATAGGATACAGCCCAGAAATAGCTGTTTGTAATTTTATCGAAATCGGTTCAGATTTGGATATAGCTCCCATATATATCTTCATCCGATTTCGGGTTAATTGTGCACCAAATGGCGGATATAAGTCCAAATGGACTGAATTTTAGTACATCGGACCAAATTCAGCCTAGAAGCAAGTGTATCAAAATTTAGTGAAAATCGGTTCAGATATAGATATAGCAACCATATATATGTTTCATCCGATTTAGAGTTTTAGTCCCATACATTCGTAATATTCACTCCACAACCGTGATGTTTGGTACCAGGTATTAGATGGAGCACAGGAATAGCTGTTTTAAATTTTATCGAAATCGGTTCAGATTTGGATATAGCTCTCATATATATCTTCATCCGATTTCGGGTTAAATGTGCACTAAATGGTCAATATCAGCCCAAATCACCAGTCTAGAAGATAATACGTAAAATTTGGAGAAACCCGGTTCAGGGATAGCTATAGTTCGTAAAATGCACGATAGAATTAGATAGATTTTGATTTTGTACCAAATATCTCATAGAGCTCTGAAATGCCCTGTATAAACCTTTTTACGAGAGCTCTACTAAATATGCATAGTGGTGTAGGGTATCATATAGTCGGCCCCGACCGACTTTTGAGCTTTCCTTACTGGTTTTTTTTTAGATTTTATACTTTTATGTCAGGAGGGCATTCTGAATTGACAAAATCGTTCCAGCCATTTTTGAGATATAAGCATTCTAACTAACATCCCCTTCCTTTGTATATACACATTGTATATATTTCGCTATATATGTAACCGATATATTTACTATCGGCATCTACGTAACGGTCAGAATTGAACTGTTCGTCTATTTGTGATTTCGCCGGGATTAAAATTATTCGCGGTTTAATGGAAAATTTGACTTTTATTTAACACAAATGATGTGGCCTATTTCACCCACTAAATATTACCCGATGACCATCAAAATTGGAAGATTAAGCTCTAGCCGCATGCTAACTTCCGCTTTGATTGGTCTATAATTGCGACCTATAGAGCAACTGTAAAATCAGGAATTTTTCAGTTTTTGGTCCATTTCAACCTAAATATATATATGCGATATACGATAGAAATAGGGTTCTATTCTAACCCTAGCCCCACCTCCATTCTGAATTTCGTGAAGATCGGGCCATAATTGCGACCTATAGAGTGATTACAAATTAACATGGACAGACGGACGGACATACATAGCTAAATCGACTCAGCTCGGCGAGATAGGAAGATCCATATATACTTTCCTATGTGGGATACCAATATTTCGAGGTGTTACATAATTTTTGGCCCAACAAATAGTGTTGTAGTGTATAAAAATGTAAAAGTTATGGCGTTTGATTTGTTTGCAGTTTTTCTATCTCACCCTGTACATTTTTCTAGGCTGAATTCGGTCGGATGTGCCAAAATCAGGTCATTTGGACTAATATTGGTCATGTGGTGCACAATTAACCCGAAATCGGTTTAAAATATATATGGAAGCCATATGTAAATTTGGACCGAAAAAATATTTCGTCTCAATCGAATAATAAATGCGACCTGCATTTTGTTCACAAAAATACATGGACGGACGGACCGACGGACTGACATGCATATATCGACTCAGAAAGTGATTCTATGAGTATCCACATAAGTAACTATGGGTATATTTCGCTTCCTTCTTCATGTTACAAACAAATGCACAAAGATATAATAACCTTTCCACTATGTGGTGTAGAATATAAAAATATCGGCTTCATCCGTTCATCCAAAACCAAAATGTTTCAAATTTATTACCATTTAGTACATTTCGGTCTCTAATTACGCCTATCCAAAACCAAATTTATATACCGAACTTACTTTCCAATCTTGATTCTCATACCAAATTTCAAATTTTTAGCTCTATCAGTTAATACCAAATGGTATCATTTTAACACTTTTCACAACCATAAAGTTCGAAAATGTTTCTTAAGCATTTTCAGATTTCTAGATCATTGCGTTTGTCAACTAAAAATTACTGATACTCTTGCAAAATTTCAAGATTCTAGCTTCAGCCGTTTCGTTTGGACGTTGATTATCGGTCAGTCGGTCAGTTATTTACTTATATTGATGAGGACACTTGCTAGTACAGACGTTTATGGAAATGTATTTTTTTTTTTGGCAAGGAATATGTTTTTTCGACTTACCTATATGTCCTTGGTACCATATTGTCAAAATAATACCTTGGCCATTTTTCCTTTGACTCTTTCATCAAGTGATTGCTTTATTCGATAACATTTATGAATACGTGTGCTATAATAAAACTAAAAGAATGAAGTGCAAGATGATGGTTGTGGAGTATCTGTTCGGGTAAATTCAATCCGCAAGAGATTTAGAGAGTTCCAGGAGCTGGAGCAAGATTAACATTAGCAACCGATTGCAAATGACCATCCAAAGGAGCAGTGTGGACGGCACCACGAGTTTTTGCCACATAAGTACCAGGACCGGCACCAAGAACGGGAGCAGAAACGGCAACACTAGGAACACCCCAAGGACCCCATGCACCCCAGTGACCAGCTACAACAGGTCCCGAAACAGCAGTGTATGAAAGGCCACCACCAACAACTTCTGGTACTCCCCATGGCAATACATATGACTGGGCACCCAAGGCCAAGGCCAAAGTGAACAAAGTTGTGACAGCGAACTGAGGGGAAACCAAAAAAGGATATTTGAGGTTATTACTCAAAATTTGTAATCCAACTTACTTTCATGTTGTTAAAGAAGACTGTGTTTCTTACTGCTGATGGCTTGAACTCAAGTTCTGATCTGATTTAACTCCATGAAAGGGAAATTGTTTTATATCCATTGGTAAGCTCAGCTAAGACCGCAAATTGCCTTAGGGTTGGGACCACATGAGTGTATTCATCGTGTTTTCTATTTGCGTCTGTATTCTATAGAAAATCATTTATTTTTATTTTCTTGTACTATTTATGCGTCAATTAAAGACATGCCCGCAGATTGCAGTTGCCGGCTGTTTGACTGACACCCATCCCTCCAGCCAGGGTGTGAAATATGAATTAAAAATTATTAGCTTTACAAATGCTCATATTGAGATTGTACATATGTACAACATTGATTTCTATAATTACACATCCGCAGTTTGTAATTGCAAATGTTGATCTAATTACTAATGTGAGTTCTTTACCTTAGTTGTGGGAAGTTTAGTGCGGCGAACCAGCAAAAGAGAAAAATAATAGAGACTATTAACCCTTCGAAAATTTTCAATGTGTAATAAAATTAAAGGGTTTTTATATAATGGAAAGAATTGGAATTATGTCAGCGTAAATGTATTTTTATACCCTCCACCATACATAGTATGGAGGATATATTAAGCTCACCATCCCGTTTATAACTAACAAAGTACATATATATTCTTGATCAGCGTAAAATTCTAAGACGATTTAGCCCTGTCTGTCCGTCCGTCTCTTGTAATCACGCCAGAGTCAAAACAAATAAAGATAGGAAGCTAAAATTTTGAAAAGATCAGTCTTTTGTCTGCAGACATGTCAAGTACGAAAATGGGCTATATCGATGCACGATATCGAATATCCCCTATATAACAGTACCCCCGATATTCGGTATTTTGATGGTTTTAGACAAATTGTTCAATAAAATTGTCTGAAAATCCACACAAGGAGTTCTTTGTGAGTACCTTACCCAAGGAAGAGAATAGATCCACGTTTAAGTACAGGGTTGTCCATATTCGACGGACCTTTGGGCCCATTCCAATCGGCGAGGCTTGTCCGCAGGCAACATTCCTTGCGTCAATTGAATGCAAATCAATGCGAATAATCCGTTGTAAAGTGAACCGAGCCATGCCCAACTGCTGAGAATGGCGTTTTTGGGATGTTCTTGGGGACCTCTCAACACTGGCTCGTACGGCAGCGATATTCTCGGCCGATCGCCTTGGTCGACTTTTATATGGCCTCTTCGGATTAGAAAGAGCTTTACCAGTCGAAAATTTTTCGTATAAACGCTTAATGGTATTCTTAGAAGGCGCACTTCTCACATTATTATACCCTCCACCAAAAAAGGTATGGAGGGTATATTAACTTTGTCATTCCGTTTGTAACTCGTCGAAATAATCATTTTAGACCCAACAAAGTATATATATTCTTGATCAGCGTAAAATTCTAAGACGATTTAGCCCTGTCCGTCCGTCTGTCCGTCTGTCCGTCTGTTGTAATCACGCTACAGTCTAAACGAATTAAGATAGGAAGCTAACATTTTGCACAGATCTCTCTTTTGTCTGCAGGCAGGTCAAGTTCGAAGATGGGCTATATCGGTCCACGATATCGTATAGCCCCCATATAACGGTACCCCCGATATTCGGTATTTTGATGATTTTACCCACATTTTTGAACGGAATTGTCTGAAAATCCACACAAGGAGTTCCTTGTGGGTACTTTATACCTCAGCAGAGAATTATCTATATAGGTCCACAATATCGTATAGCCCCCATATAACGGTGCCCCCGATGTTCGGTATTTTGATGATTTTACCCACATTTTTGAACGGAATTGTCTGAAAATCCACACAAGGAGTTCCTTGTCGATACTTTATACCTCGGCAGAGAATTATCTATATAGGTCCACAATATCGTATAGCCCCCATGTAACGGTACCCCCCGATATTCGGTATTTTGATGATTTTACCCACACATTTCAACGGAATTGTCTAAAAATCCACACAAGGAGTTCCTTGTGGGTACTTTATACCTCGGCAGATAATTGTTTATATAGGTCCACAATATCGTATAGCCCCCATATAACGGTGCCCCCGATGTTCAGTATTTTGATGATTTTACCCACATTTTTGAACGGATTTGTCTGAAAATCCACACAAGGAGTTCCTTGTGGATACTTTATACCTCGGCAGAGAATTATCTATATAGGTCCACAATATCGTATAGCCCCCATGTAACGGTACCCCCCGATATTCGGTATTTTGATGATTTTACCCACCTTTTTCAACGGAATTGTCTGAAAATCCACAAAAGGAGTTCCTTGTGGATACTTTATACCTCGGCAGAGAATTATCTATATAGGTCCACAATATCGTATAGCCCCCATGTAACGGTACCCCCCGATATTCGGTATTTTCATGATTTTAGCCACATTTTTCAACGGAATTGTCTGAAAATCCACAAAAGGAGTCCCTTGTGGGCATTTTACCTTCTCAAAATGAAGTGTCTATGTAGGTCCACGATATCGTATATCCCACATATAACTGTAACCTCCGATATTCAGTATTTTGATCATGTTAGCCACGCTTTTCGATGGAATTGTCTTAAAATCAACACAAGTAGTTCCTTGTGAGTACTTCACCCCCTGAGAGAGAATTGTCTATACAGGTCCACGATATCGTATATCCCCCATATAACGGTACCTCCCGATATTCGGTATTTTATGATTTGACCCACATTTTTCATCGGAATGGTCTGAAAATCCACACAAGGAGTTCCTTGTAGGTACTTTATACCTCGGCAGAGAATTATCTATATAGATCCACGATATTGTATAGCCCTCATATAACGGTACCCCGGATATTCGGTATTTTCATGTTTTTAGCCATATGTTTCAACGGAATGGTCACAAGAGGTTCTTTGTACACAAGGGGTTCTTTGTGAGCACTTTACCCACCGACAGAGAATTCTCTATATAGGTTAACGATAACGTATAGCTCCCATATAACGGTACCCCGCGATATTCGGTATTTTGATGATTTTAGCCACATTTTCCAATCGTATTGTCTGAAAATCCACACACGAAGTTCCTTGTGAGTACTTTACACGCAGACATAGATTTGTCTTTATAGGTCCACAATATCGTATATCCCCCAATATATCGGCACCTTCCTATATTAGATATTTTAAAGATTTTAAAAGAATTTTTATTGGATTTTATTTTTTGAAAATTTTCTAATTCGTTCCAAATGGTGGAGGGTATTCAAAGTTCGGCCCGGCCGAACTTACTGCTTTTTTACTTGTTATTTTTGAATTTGTTTTATTTTTTAAGGCAATATATATTCGTTTATAAAATTTTGCATGCGTACAAAATGAAAGTGGTTGCGAAGCGCACCTGCTGATGTTTGGTATTTTGATGATTTTAAGAACATTGTTGAGCGGAATTGTTTGAAATTTCGTGTTTGAAGCTCGTAGTATTACAACCTATGATGGAAAATTGTATATGTGTGTCCAGATCTTCATATAGTTTGATGATATTAGATACATTATTTACCGGAATGGTTTCAAATTTCATATTTAAGTACATAATAGGTACTACTGCCTGTGAAAAAGCAGTAAGGAAAAAGACGGGCGGGTCGACTATATGATACTCTACAACACTATTCGTACTAAGTTGAGCTCCCGTAAAAAAAGTTTATGATGGGAATTTAAGTGAAGTACAGGGTGAGATGAAAAAACTGCAACCAACTTCAGACTGATGTCATTTCGAAGCCTCTCGTCCGACAGCTGTTAAAATTATTCCACTGACAACTCATTATATTGTTTACAAGCGTATAAAAGCATTTTGGTGAGAATTTACCAGAAAACAATTTATTCGATATGGAATTCAAGTGTGATAGTGTGCTTTCTTTATATGTGGTTGAAAACCCCAAGTGGCTATCGTTAGAGCACTCCAGCATTTAAATGTGAATAAACCTTTTGTGTCTCGTACCATCGCTCGTTAACGTGTGCGATTTGATCGAAACCCGCATCGCAGTGGCCGAAAAATGACTCGTGAGCTGAACATATCGCAATATTCACCTCGGCAAATATGAGCCATTTAAATTTCAAAAATTGCAAGAACTTACACAGCAACATAAAGAAAATAGACCCAAAAGAGCTAAAGGTTTGCTTCGCTTGGCCGAAAGTGATGAACTGCCGAATTTAGTTTTTCACGATGAGAAAACATTCGTTGTCCAGTAGTTTGTAAACAAACAAAATGATCGTGTTTACTTGCCAAAGAGGTCAGCTGAAAATGTGCACCTTCGGTTTGCCACAAGAACTCAAGCGCCGGCCATGGTAATGGTGTGGGCCGCCATTACAGCCGATGGTCGCTCTCCGTTCGTTTTAATCGACCGTGGCATCAGAATAAATAATAAGAATAAATACCGAATATTATCGCAAACATATTCTGGAGGGTGTATTAAAGCCTTGGGCACGCAAACATTTTGACCGCAGGCCTTGGACATTCCAACAGGACTCAGCACCATCTCACTCAGCACGTGCCACCCAAGAGTGGTTAGAAAATGAGGTTCCTCGCTTTATTCCACGCACAATGGCCACCAAAATCTCCGGATAACAATCTGTTAAACTACTGTTTCTGGAGTATTTTGGAAAGCACCTCAAGCAAGCGCTGAGCCTATCTCGATAAAATTTGGCAGATGTATTTTCGAGCTGTATCTGATGTCCGGTATCAAATATCATTTTGTGAGGGCATTTAACACCAAATCGAATGAAATATATACACGGGAGCTATAGTTATATGTAAACCGATTTTCTCTAAATTCGATGTACTTGCTGCTATACCAAATTTGCTCGAATGTGCCAAAATTCAGGTCATTTGGTATGATATTGGTCATTTGGTGAACAATTAACCCGAAATCGGTTATGGGAGCTATATCTAAATTTGAACCGAATCTCCCAATTAACCGATTTTCACCAAAATAGGGTTCGTCCTTGGGCCAAACAAATATTGTTTGCAAAATTTCATCTTAATCGGATAAATGTAACCTGCCTTTTGTTCACAAAAATACATGGACATGGTCGGACGGACGGACTAACTATGGGTATATTTCGCTTCCTTCTCCATGGTACAAACAAATGCACAAAGACATAATACCCTTACCAATATGTGGTATAGGGTATAAAAAGTGTACAGTATTGCCCATATTCGACGGACCTTTGAGCCCTTTGGGTCCATTCCAATCGACGAGGCTTGTCCGCAGGCAACATTCTTTGCGTCAATGCGAATAATCCGTTGTAAAGTGGACCGAGCCATGCCCAACTGCTGAGAATGGCGTTTTTTGAGATGTTCTTGGGGACCTCTCAACACTGGCTCGTACGGCAGCGATATTCTCGGCCGATCGCCTTGGTCGAGCCTTACCAGTCGAAAATTTTTCGTATAAACGCTTAGAAGGCCCACTTCTCAAATTTTTTTAATGTTTTAAAAGCACGTTGAGTTTTCACAATTGACTTCTTGCAAATTTCAACTATTTCATGGTAAAAATCTGCTTGGACTGACGCTTCAAACGCGGTATGTCATTAGCGATGTGACATCTCTGTCAAAAGTTATGGAGTTGCCAGATCGGTCCGTCGAATATGGGCAACCCTGTATATGTACGTCTTCGTATAGCCGCCACGGTTGTCCTTTGAGCGTTATTTTTCGACGGAATTTTTGTAAAATTTTCAATTTCCTTCAAATTGGTGGAGTCTATTAAAAGCTGGGCCGGCCAAATTTCGATGCTTTTTTACTTAGTTGTTGATATTTTCTACCTTAATTGAAATTTTTAGTTATTTCCATGCGCCAATTAGAAAGTAAACAGTAAGAAAATACAAAAATCAAGTGGTGGCGACTACATGATACCCTACACCCCTATGTTTAATAAGTTGTTTAATAAGTTTAAGAGTTGCACGTAACATATAAACGTTTACATTGTGAAGTGGTTCGGGTCATATAGTCGGCCACGACCGACTTTTAACATTTCTTTTCTGATTTTATGAGAGCCTTAACTATTCTAAATTTTAGCCTTTTGTTGAGGAGGTATCAGAAATTGTAGGTCGCTAAGTCCCATATTCACAGTAAATCTTATGTTATTAATTCCCGCAACACAATGTCCATTTGTTGGACCATTAAAATTCCATTAAATAAACATGAATGTTCATAGAAATAAATGAAATGCATACCATTCTTACACTGACTAATTTTACGTATCCGTCACCATTCCAAGTCTTACCTATTCGTCACACAATTCCGTCAATTGTTGCAATGACATGTACAAACCCCACCAACACCAGCAGAATTAAGATTTCATAAATGTCATAATTAAAATGTTTGAATGATTTTTCACGCTCGACCGCCTCATTTTCTTTGCGCGAGAAATGGGTAGGAACGGCTGTATGACGATTGGTATGCCAGGTGTGACACTTTCGCACTGTTCTAATTTCACTATAAAAATGCGAGGAGAGTATGTCAAGAAATCAGATTACTATCTGCACTTGCCGATAAAACTCAATCAAACTATTTCAGTTTTCTTACCGAAATACCAAAACAAAATTCTGCAACATGAAAGTGAGTATTAGGGACAATGGACACAAGAAATTGTCGGTTTGATTTTGTAAATATAAATCTCTTACTTTTTTCAGTTCTTCTTGGCTATCATTGCATCCTTGGCTTTGGTCTTGGGAGTTCAATCCTTCGTATTGCCCTATGGCGTTCCCCAAGTAGTCGGTGGTGGTCTCTCATATACTGCCGTATCATCTCCCTACTTCCCCTATGCTGCTCATGGTCTCGGTGTGCATGGCCCAAGTGTTGCTGTCCACGCTCCCGTTGTTGTTCCAGGTGTACAGGGAACCTATGTTGCCAAGACACGCGGCGCTGTTCACACTGCTCCATTGGAGGGACACCTGAACTCTGTGGCCAATGTTAATGTGGCTCCTGCTCCCGGAACTCTGTAAAAGATTTGTGGAATGAAATGTACATAGGGGGTATTTTAAGATTATCAGAGAAACGATTTTATAATTATAGAACTTAAATATAAAACAAATTTGCAAATCAAAACAACATTTGCCTATTTTTAGCTTAGGAAAAGATATACATGGTGGGATAAAAAAACGGCAATAAAGTCAAACGCCATAATTTTTACATTTTTATATAAAGTTTCTCATTCCGTTTGTAACACCTTGAATTTAAGTCCCCACAAAGTACATATATTCTTGATCAGCATAAAATTCTATGTCGATTTAGCGGTGTCCGTCCGTCTGTCCGTCTGTGGAAATCACTCTAGCTTCCGAATGATATGAAGTACATTTATAAAATGTTACTCAAATGTAAGTTATGTCCGCAGGACTTTTGGTATTGAAAATGGGCCATGTAGGTCCACTTTCTGATATAGCCCCCCATATAACGGTACCTCTCGATATTCTGTATTTTGTTCATTTTAGCGACATTTTTCACCGGAATTGTTTCAAATTTGGTATTTGAAGTTCGTAATAGATACTACAGCCTAAGACAGAAAATTGTCTGTGCCGGCCCACGTCTTCGTATATAGAATTTTTAACGGATTTTATTGTTTTTGAGAATTGAACAGTGTTGGCATGTTTGTTTGGGATACCGAAGTATTTTGTTGTTGCAAAAATCGTCAGGCTTAATCCCATTATTGTTGTTTTTATAAAACAACATTTGTTTATTAGTGGAGAACGATGGTGATGTTTACCAGGGGGTAAGGTAGGGAATACTTAGGTTTCGGAAAGAGCCACCAATCCTCATCAGTTCCGTTGTTTTTTGCCTGGGATATTCTCCCCAGAAGTTATTTAAAATAACTCCTATGACAAAAAGACTTTTTTACCCTAGTGACGAGATCGTAAACTCAACAGAAGAGGAACCAAAGAACTATATAAAACTAAAATTCTTTTGGAAAATCTTTGAGAATTGCCAAATTCATTTCAAATGGAGGAGGATATTCAAAATTCGTCCCGGCCGAACATACAGCTTTTTACTTGTTTTTTTTTTTTAAATTTTATTGAATGAAAGCAAAAAATGTCGGAAATAGCATCCAATTTTAGAATAAGTTTAGATTTGTTCGAATTGGTCACCTTTGGCACAAATTATGGCCTTCAAATGGCCAATGTTGCTCTGCGGTATTTTGGCCCATTCCCGGCAAAGCGATTGCTTGAGATGATCGACACTTTGGTATTTTTTAGTGCCAACCTTGCATTCCAAAATACTTCAGGCACAATAGTCCAACGGATTGGTATCCGGATATTTTGGTGGCCATTGTGCGCTGGAAATGAAGCGATGAACCTCATTTTGTAATCTTAGGAGGTGCATGTTGAGTGCGATGGTGCTGAGTCCTGTTGGAAAGTCCAAGGTCAGCGGCCAAAATGTATGCGTGCCCAAGGCTTTAATACACGCTCAAGAATATTTTCGCGATAACATTCGGCATTTATTCTGATGCCATGGTCGATTAATACGAGCGGAGAGCGACCATCGGCTGTTATGGCGGCCCACACCATCACCATGGCCGGCGCTTGAGTTCTGGTGGGCAACCGAAGCTGCACATTTTCAGTTGACCTCTATGCAAAAAAAAAAGAGAGAAAAACAAATTCGGCAGTTCACCACTTTCGGCCAAGCGGTGTAAGTTCTTGCACTTTTTGGAATTTCAATGGCTAACTCCGAGCTCATTTTTCAATATTTGCCGAATGGAATATTGTGATATGTTCAGCTCACGAGCCATTTTTGGGCCACTGCGACGCGGATTTTTCTAAAGATTTTATAAAATTAAAAACTCCAGTTATTTTTATACCAAAAAAAAAGAAAAAATAAATAAAATAAATAAAATAAATAACGTAATTAGAATTCAATAGAAAAATGGTGGCATGTCATAACGTCCAGGGTCATAATGTTAATGCATAAGGTCCACATAAAAAAGTGTTATATCGTTCATAGACATTGTGACACTTTTGCCAACGTCATAATGTCCATATACCTTATGACACATTAAAAATAAAAAAAATATGGTATAGAAGTATTTATTCTAATTAATAATTTTATTGATGACATTTATACCCTGCAACACTATGTGTTGGGGTATTATAAGATTGATTGGCCCAAAAATTATGTAACACCACGAAATATTGATTTCCCACATAGGAAAGTATATATGGATCATCCTAGCTCGCCGAGCTGAGTCGATCTAGCTATGTATGTCCGTCCGTCCGTCTGTCCGTCTGTCCGTCTGTCCATGTTAATTTGTAATCACTCTACAGGTAACAATTATGGCCCGATCTTCACGAAAATTAGAATCGAGGTGGGGCTAGGGTCAGAATAGAACCCTATTTCTTTTGGAAATGATCGCATAATATTTAGGGGTTGAAATGGACCCAAAACTGAAGAATTCCTGAATTTACAGTTGCTTTATAGGTCGCAATTATAGACCAATCAAAGCGGAAGTTAGCATGCGGCTAGAGCTCAGGGCTGGGCAGAAGCCTTCCAATTTTCATGGTCATCGGGTAATATTTAGTTGAAATATTCCACAACATTTGTGTTAAATAAAAGTCAAATTTTCCATTAAACCGCGAATATTTTAATCCCGGCGAAATCACAAATAGACGAACAGGTCAATTCTGACCGTTACGTAGATGCTGATAGTAAATATATCGGTTACATATATAGCGAAATATATACAATGTGTATATACAAAGGAAGGGGATGTTAGTTAGAATGCTTATATCTGAAGAATGGCTGGACCGATTTTGACAAATTTTGTCAATTCAGAATGCCCTCTTGACATAAAGGAATAAAATCTAAAAAAATCGCATTAAAAGGTATCAATAATGATGTTAATATAGATTTTGTAGTATTTTGTGACATATTTTTATCGCATGCAATTTTTTCTATTTGACTTATAATATTTTGTAATGTTCATTTACCTTACGACACAGGTTGGTTATATAAGTATTGCAAATATCGTCCCATCGTAGGGAAAATTTTCACATGGGTAGGGTTGGGCTCAGAAGAGCTAGGCCTATTGTTTTCAAATATGTCCGCAATATATTAGGGGTTTAAATGGAACAACAACAAAAAAATTTTCGATTTTGCAGCCGTTATAAAGGTCACATATAGAAACCAAAGGATACGAAATCTCACATAAAGTTAGAGTTTAGGACAGCGGGTACAATGGAGCACTAATTTTGTGTGAAAAAATACCAGCATTACTTACAGGCGATATCCGAAATACACAAAAGGCGAACTTCTGGCTTTTTTATGCTGATTTCATTGACGAATATAGCCAAATATCGTAGACAAGCAAATCATATAGATGAGTCTAAATTTGATGGTTCGGAGGGGCTTCTTGCTTTTGGAGATGATCGCAAAATATTTAGGGGTTCAAATTAACCAAAAACAGAAATGTTTTTCCGAGCACACAATTGAAGCCAATCGACACGCCTTTGAAGAGAGTTTTGGATGACCATTGGATTATATTTAGTTGTAAAATGGACTACAACAACTAACAGCCCGACGGAGTGCATAAATATTAGGCAAATGTCCCTAGTCAAAATCCTAATTTCAAAAGCGAAATCTTCCAATATGGATTTAGACATAAGGGGGCTTGTAACTTGTTTCAACAATTTGGCTGTAATAAGGGCAAAGTAAAGGTGAACGATTTGTCTAGGACTTTGCGTCTAACTTTACACAATACGAGCAAATCTTGAAATGTTTACATGGATGAAGCAAAATATTTCTCGGTTCCTGACTCGGAGCTGTTTCAGCATACTCTTGAGTCTTCGATTGTTTTCCTTGTTTGTGCTTTATCTGATATCTGGTACCAAATATCATTCCTGTGAAGAGTATATTACGAATGTGAGAGGCTTAAACACCAAATCGGATGAAAGATATATATGGGAGCTATAGCTATATCTGAACCGATTTTCTCCAAATTTGATATACTTGCTTCTAAGCTGGTTTCGGTCGGATTTGCCAAAATTGATGCTATTACGGCCATTTGGTGGTCAATCACCCGAAATCGGATGAAGATATATATGGGAGCTATATCCAAATCTGAACCGATTTCGATAAAATTTAAAACAGATATTTCTGTGATCCATCTAATACCTGGTACCAAATATCACGGTTGCGGATTGCATAGTAGGAATGTGAGGGACTTAAAGATCAAATCGGATGAAAGATATATATGGGAGCTATAGCTATATCTGAACCGATTTTCTCCAAATTTGATATACTTGCTTCTAGGCCGAACTCGGTTGGGTGTGCCAAAATTCAGGTAATTTGGACTGATAGTGGACATTTGGTGCACATTTAACCCGAAATCGGATGAAGATATATATGGGAGCTATATCTAAATTTGATCCGATTCTCACCAATTTCAATAGGGTTCGTCCTTGGGCCAAAAAAATATTGTTTGGAAAATTTCATCTCAATCGGATAATAAATGCGACCTGCATTTTGTTCACAAGAATACATGGACAGACGGACTGACATGCATAAATCGACTCAGAAAGTGATTCTATGAAGGTTCTCAAAAGTAACTATGGGTCTATCTCGTTTCCTTCTCCATGTTACAAACAAATGCACAAAGACATAATACACTTACCACTATGTGTTGTAGGGTATAAAAATCAATTGTTGTTCGTTGGTAATGGAAGCAGTTGGGAACGCCTGGACCGATTTGCATAATTTTTTCTACAAATAGTCGTCATATCCCGAGTTAAGTTTTTAAAGAAAAAATAATGACCACGCCTACTTTTACGACCACTATTTCGATTTATCTAAAATCCTTATATTTGCTAAATAATGAAGATATCGGTTTTAAAATTATTACACGACATATTGTAGACTTTCCCCTCCAATCCTAAATATTTATTTAGGGGCTGAGGAACTGACCACTCCTACATCTATATCTATAAAAGAGGAAAATGTTTGTATGTTTGTTTGTTTGTTTGTTTGTTTGTTTGTAATTTATGGACTTGAAAACCGCTGAATAGATTTTCCTGAAAATTTCCATATATACTGCAACATCGCCTGAAAGTAACATAGGCTATATA